GCTGCGCGGTGGGCGGTTTGGCTTGTCTGCGACTTCAGAGCAGTTCAGGGCTGTTTCTTGCAGGCCACCTAATGTGGTAACGGTTTCCTTTGTTTAAAACGAGTTTGCACGGTAGTGAGATTATTTTAATGATGCTGTTTATCTGTAAATAAAAGGAATTTGGAAATGAAAGAAATGGAGGGATATACTCTTGAGAGAGAATGATGATGTATTCTCAACTGTCTGCTAGATGCAGATTGTATTTTAGTAGCTGACTAAGAACGTTAGTGCCCACTGATTTATTATTTTTTTAAAACTTTTCTTTGTGACTTTTTCCCGTACTGTGGTACTGAAAATCACTGTGCTATGAGTAGTCTGCACTTACTTATTCCTCGGTATATATTGAAGCAAACTGTCATTTCCCAATTAGCTGATTTATTTCATTTCTTGGTTTTCTTTTATTTAGGATTGTGTGAGAAAAATATTTTTAACATTGGTCAGTGTTCATATGTTCATTCTAAAAGGGTGTGTGACACAAGAGAAACTGAGACACTTGTAACCTGTTGAATAAACTACTCCAGAAAACCATTCCCCTGGACAAGTATCTGAGTTTTCATTTTTCAGTCTCCTGTTCGAGCCTTCATTTTGATTTTAAAAAGGTGCTTTCTAATTATTTTAATGGCTTTGAATAGAAATTACTGAAGTCTTACTAAGACAATTCAAAGTTACATATCAAATCTTAACAGTGCTAGTTCTGCAAGTGTTGTAGTCAGTCCCTGTAATTATGCCTTTTGGTTGCCTTGGAAGGTATATTGTGAATTACAAACAACTCGAAGGCAGCTAATGCTTTGTTGTCTTGCACCGTTTTCTTGCTGTGCCAGAAGGAATTGAATAACTTATACTGTAACTGGAAAAATTTCCCTGTTTCTTTCTCTTTTTCTTTTTTTCCCCCTTCCAGATTCTAAGGTACAGATTTTACTTTTTGTGGATTGCTGAGAAGAAAGAATGCCTGACTTGGAAACCTACTTTAAAATGTCTTCTAGTTTGTGAACTCACGTCTTGTTTTCCTCCTCCCCAACTTCCCTTCTGTTTTGCAGCCATAGACCTTTTGTATGGGGGTATATACTGCTTTATGTGTCAAGATTACATATACGACAAAGACATGGAACAAATTGCCAAAGAAGAACAACGAAAAGCTTGGAAATTACAAGGTTTGGTTTTCCTGCCTGAATTTCTTGTTTCTGTTTTTAATCATACCTGTCCCTCCCATTTGTCAATGGCAAAAAAAAAACAGTAAGGGGAAGAAGGAGCTCTTTGGAGATAGTAGTGCAGGCCTTGGGAGAGAGATGTCTAGCTATTACTTTCCAGGAGTTAGACTGTTAGTTTAACATGTGCGCCACACCTAATTGTAGCAAAAATATTTTATTTTTAATTGCAAAAAATAGAGCTAATATTAATCCTGAAAAACTTACGTAATATCAGAGTCAAATCTGTATTAGGTAGAAAATGTAACAGTCTGCTCCTTTAGGCTAATTTAGGTGATACAGGTGATAAATCTGTTCCCCTCACATGAAATGCCACCCTTGTGTGTGATTTTTTTTTTTAATTTTTTTTTAAATAGAACGTGCCAGCTTACTTACACACCTGTGCTTTCATGGTACACGCACAGTATCTATGTAGAAATATTTACACACAAATATATGTACACACATTTGTTTTATTCAGTTTGCTTTCCCTAATTTTTTCTTTTTTAGCCTTCACCCCAACAGTGGTTTCTCACTACCAGTGTACAATGACAGGTAAGAAGCGTGGGCTGGCGACGCACTTCACTAACAAGCGTCCCTTTGCTGATTATCCTGCCATTTTAGACATGAATCACAGTTAAGAATGCCAGTTTTATCGTGCAAATTGTTTTCCTCTTGTTTGGATATGTTCCAATGATTGAATAATTACAGCAGACTTGATTTCATATGCCCTTTCCTGGATAGAACTACTGCAAAACAAACCTTTTCTCCTTTTTTTTGGAAAGGAAAGGAAGTAGCATGTATCTTTAACTGAGTAGTTTTTAAGCATCAGTTATAAAAGCTTGTCATCTTCCATTTCCAGTGGCCTCTAGGGGATATGTTTTCTTAAAGTGGGAAAGTCTGTATTTGAAGACAGATGACTTCTGTCTAGTAATGTCTCTTACTGAATCCATGGCATCCTGTTTCAATGTGACAGCCTTAGTCAGGGCTGATATGACTTCAAACCATTCTTAACCTCATTTCCAATTTTAAAAATAGCAGCTAACATCGTATTAACTAGAGCTTTTCTGATGGCGTATCAAAAGTATAGCTGCCTTTACTTAGTTCCTACTACAGATCCCATTCTGCTTTCTGCTTATTCCCCGTTTTGTGGGAGTTGAGTCAGAGGAAGGGAGGGTAGTGAGACTGCCAGTGAGTCCTGGAACAAGAAAAGACAGCTTAAAATGCTTTAGTGCAAAGCACTGGTTTTCAAAATAAGACAAAATGGAAACATGTTTTTAAACCTCATTTAGGCTATGCACATCTTCTGAAAACTCCAATGGTGGTGTTTTGGGCACCAAATTAATATGATAATTATATAAATATATGTTATAAATATATAATTAATGCAACAACGTAGCATTTCTTCATGATCCTGTGGAAGAGGAAGGCCTCCTAGTTCCTTACTTTTGAATATGTTAATTTAAGGAGCAATTTCTTAGTTATGTTGTCTGTAGCAAATGATAAATTTGTGCCTGCTGGGCTGAGATGCAGCCAGTTTTTCCCGCAGTGGACGCCAGGCTGCTATAGCTTATATTCTGCAGCAATTACAGCTACAAGATTGTTCATCTTGTCTTGGACCACAAAGTTGTGTGGTGAAGGGAAGAATCACTGAGAGGAACTGCCAGGCAGAAAAACTGCTCTGTACTGGTTAACTGGTGAATGAATGACATTAAATATAGACATGAATGCATATTTATATGAATATGCACATTGCACCTTCTGTCCCAGGGCAAGTCTGGAATGACCATTGAAGATGCAAAATGAGGAATAGGCAACGGTGCACTTTAGATTAAAGAAAATGTCTATACCGTGTACTCCAATAAAGTCATGTCACAGGATCTTTTTTCCATGGCTTCTCATGAGGCCACGTGTATTTCCCTGCAAATTTATCTAAGGAATGAGAAAGGGAGATACATGGGAGAAATAATGGCAAATTAGACCTTTTCTTCCTTCTTTCTCCATTGCTTCAATCCATCCCCTCCTTCCCATAGTGACTCACGTTACCTGAAAGACTGTAAAGTGTAAAGGAGGAGGGAACCTGCGTTCTTCCAAACTGAGTGTCGAGATTAGCACAAACCTCAAACTCAGTGTCTTGGTTGTGTGTTTCTACCCCAGAATTAGTTCACCTCAGATAGTGTTGCCAACTGAAAGAACTTCAGAAGTTAATCCAGTCTGAGAAAACTGGGATTGGCTTAAGAATTGAAGCGTTGATGTTGTATAGTTTTAAACTTCTGGCCACAGTGCTTGAAGGGTGTTAGTGTATACTTTAATAGATGCTCACATAACAACATGATGCCTGGAGAAACAACTTTAAGAAAAACCCCAAATATCATGAGATTCATTTCATACTTTTGTAATATTAACTCTTAGTGTGCTGAGTTCCCATGTCCCGTTGCAGTTCACGGTTATACGATATAACTGAACAAGTTGAAACTCTACCATTTTCTTTTTTTCCTTGGGTGTTGAATATTCTATAATAATGAGAGAGGTGAGAATACACGGAGCCCTTCAGTCTAATTAATGTTTGGATTTTTGGGAGGTGGGGAAAATGGGGAATCTGCTAAAGTATAGCAAAGTAAACAATCTATATTAATGATTACTTACAAAATTGTGACTTTTATAAACTAGAGCCTTCATCACCTTTTCTTTCACTCATCCATATGTCCCTGATAAATTCTCTGAAAAATGACAATTTGTGTATTTGACCTAATAAAATTAATCCTTGACTGGAGATTTCACATGCTGACTTGAATTTCTGGCTATTTTATAGCACCATTTTTAAAATGATAAATTTCTACTCCTATAGTGCTACTTTCCTTTAAGTGTAAATGGTAACTTGTGCATGTTTTGCAAATCTTTAAGGTAGTTTACACTGGAGTTTTTGGCATGTTTGTGGGTGTTTTTAAACATTTTATTAAAACTTTTTCCTACTTTAAAAAAAAACCCCAACTTTTAAACACTGAACCATTCCTAGTAAATGGTTCTATCTTTTTTCCCCAAATTTTCAAGAGTAATAAAACCTCAGCATTCTTGTTAAATTATATAGTCAGAACAGAACACTTTAATTTCTGTCTCTGGCTTGACTTGTGCTTTTTCTAATGAAAGGCTTCTGTAAGGAAGTTTTCTGTCTGTTTTGCTCTGTGTTTGTTGTGGCATTAACTGTACATGGTTTTCTGTTTGGTTTAATTTCTTTTTGATTGAACAGTATTTGATTCACCCAGAATCCTGTAAAGTAATCCAGTCTGTCATGTTTAACTTTACTTGAAGAGTTGCTCTTGTCAAATGCTTTGGTCCACATCTTCTATAAGCTTTTAAGCTATATAATTATATATATATATATAAAAATATATATGAATAGTCCCACTGACATATGTGGAACTATTGCATGCTTAAAGTTGAGCGCACATGTGTTTCCAGTGTGAATTCGGTTAGATTTGATTCAAACCAGGATTTAAACATAGCCAAGTGTTTTTTTTTCATTATGAGGTTTCATCCCATTGTCAGATTATACTGCGTTCGGCCGTGTTTAAACTACAGTGAACTCAAATGCAAGAGTTCAAGTTCACAGCTGGCCAGTGCAGTAGCTGGTACTAACATGGTGTTGAAAATTATTCTGAGCTTTTTTACAAACAGATTTTTATATAAATCTTTAAGGAAGCATTAAAAATACGGAAAGGGTTGCTGAAGACATCAGTACAAAACCTGTTGCAAGCCAATGTTCTGTCATATGTGAACTGTCCATATGTGCGTCTCTGAAGCTGCTTCCTTCGTTTGCCCATGCATCCTGTATAGTGTGTTCAAAGCATCGCAGCTGTTGTAGCTCGTCGGCCTGTTACACAGTAATTAGTTTCCTTTTCTGTTTTCCTGGGCGTGTAGCTTGGTGCTGAACCTTGGGTAAAGGAAAGGGACTGTATGATTCGGGTATTCTTTCTTATGCTTCCTGCATAATCTGTTGGGGAATCAAATGGAGAGATGGGTGCATCCATGTAAACAAGAATTTTCTAGTCCTCAAGAATCCAGGAATGACACCCTTTATTACTAGAACCTGGAGGGTCAGTAGTGACTATGATTTGAACACTTTTGGGTGGGTGGCTTCTGACAAGCATAGCTATTTCTGAAAATGAAGATCAAAGAGCTATTAAAATTTAATGTATATTATGCAGAATGTGTAAGCCTCTAGCTATATTTTCTACTCTCCTTTTCATATGTATGATTTATAATTTATTTTCTGTAGCACAGCACTGTTTCTGCTCCATGCATTCTGTGAGAAATAACTCTTAATTGACTTTAATCCTCAGTTTAGAATAGATTGCTTGTCATCTTGCTATTCGTTACTTTTAATGCCGAGATGCTTTTGTGACTCACTGTAATTGACCTTGCCTAGTAATTTCTCTGTGTTACATGCAATGCTGCACCAGTGCTTAGCTGGTCAGCACGTGAGTCTTCACTGTTGTGTTTTTCTTGCATCAGATTTATGCTGAACACAACTCTATGCTTACTTCAGATCTGTTCTCTGTACTACTTACTCACTTCTACTGCACTTTCCTTTGAACAAAAGAAATGTTTTGGAACTACAGTGTTGAGGTTTAAAGAGAATAATGACAGATTTTAGCTGCAGCTCATGAGTAAAGGTAGCTGAGTATTTGGAGAGTGTTGGTTGGTTGCTGGGGAAGGGTTGTGTTTAAACCTACTACTAATTGCATTTTTAGGTAATATTAACTGTGTCAGTAAAGTGAATATCGAGTATTAGAACTTGCTAATATCCAGTCCTACATCAATGGTTATAAGGAGAGGTCATACTCTGTAATGGTATATCCTAAGACATGTAGTAACTGTTCAGTATATCGAATTATTAAATTCTGCTGTTCATCTGTAAAGATTAAGCTTCTATCTGTCCATTAAGTTGGGTTGGTTTTGATTTATTTACTTGTCAAAGTTCAGTGATGAGATTTCTTGGTTATCCTGTATCTTCTAAAATCATATGGTGGTTCTGTCATTTAACCTCCTCTGAGCACAAAGAAATGCATTTTTGAGTAATAGTGGATTTATCCTTGTGCTGGAATTTCTTTTTATCTGAAAGGAGAATTATAATCCCATAATGGAAAATTTATTTGGGCTAGGTATTCTTTGTAAGTAAAGTGCTTTTCTTTTTTTAGTTCTAATGTGTTGGAAGACTGGTTGATACCTTAATGAACTGTATTTTTTGGAGGCAGGGGTAAAAAGAAATCAATCTCTTACAGATGTACGTAGATTGAACCTAACTTAATGGACAGTGTGTTGAAAGTTTTTACTTGAACAGAGATTTTAATCCTTTTACTAAACAACTTCCTGAAACTTTCTTTTCGTCTGCTTAGGCATTGGAGAGAAGTATTCAACATGGGAGCCAACCAAACGGGAGTTAGAATTGCTACGACACAACCCCAAGCGGAGAAAAATAACCACAAACTGCACCATAGGTAAGTTCTAGACATCCTTGCTGAAGCCGATTCTGAGTGCTTGTATGTTCAAAATTCTGTGGGGTTTCTCCATAAATAATTTTTACCCTGAGTTAATTGTAGTAGATTTCCTTAACCGTTAGGATAACAAAATAAAGGGGTTTTTTATACTACCTTTTTCTCACTGTAGAAGGATCTCTGCTCTGTCACTTCAGATACTGATGATGAGTCATCCGTGTAACAACTACAAAACAACTTTTCTTTGACAATATGCATTTAAAGACTTGAGCAGAAATCAGTGATGTTCTCTCAACTTGATCTTCATCAGAGATCTTAGGCAGGTGTATGAAGGGGAATCCTGTAGTTGAGATGAATCCTTAACTATAGCAGTCTCGTGGTCAGTCTGTTTTTAGCAGGCAGAATAAGCACAGTGATGTCTTTCTGCTTCATGTCCTAAACTCTATATGGAGCCTCTTCAATTTCATATTGACTCTGAAAAGATGTAGTTTGTTCTCCAGTGTGTGTCAAATAGCAGTTTTGAAATGCATATCAAATGTTTAATGTTTAGAGTTCAAGTCTTGGAGCAAAGAACTCTCTGAAATATGGACATATCTACTTGTGACTGGAGAGTATTTGGGTAAGGGTGATGAAAATGAGCAGCATTTTTCCAATTTTTTTTCTGCTGTCTTTACATTAGGTGAGTAGGGGGTTAAAACCAGCTTCCTGCTAAGCTCTAATGAAGGTTATTTTCCTATACTGTGAAATGCACACTAACATTTTAATGGTAAAGGTACAAAGTTGGAGATGTAGCTATAGACATCAAAAGTAGGAAACTATTTAAAAGGTTTTTTCCTAATTTTTAAGCTACTCTACTGTTTTATGAGAATGTGTCACACTTTCAGCACGCTTGCTTTTGTCAAAATACACTGAACTTAATTGCCTAAACTTTCTAACGTCATGTTTCTAATACAGTAAGTCATATTTAATCCAAAATATGTGTATGTATATTTGGAAAATGGACCGAGAAGCACAGAGTAAGTTGTAGTGAGTTGAAAATGTGTATAGAATGGTAATTTTAAAGAAAGGACCTATGGATTTGCAATAGTGGAACAGGAAAGAGTTGGAAAAACATCTGGACTTCGGAAACTTCAGGTGGCCTGGGAAAAAATAACTAGGCAAAGATTGCCTGCATCACATTCACACTGGGATTTTGTGTTCGATGAGTAAAGACTGTTACAAATTGCTTAAGGTAATAGAATGGCGCAGGGCGGAAGAAAAAGTTTGATATAATTTCGAAAGCGAATGTGACCTTTCTGAAGAACTGAAACACTTCTGCATTTCTCTTTCCAGTTTGAAGGAGTGCTATGCCTACTCTTACAGGATTTTAAATTTTTCAGTCTGTTTTAAAAGGACACGTCTGGTTGCATGAAATCTCATACAACGCTGCATGGGCGGGGGAGCGCTCATGAAACACAGGGGATAAGGGAAATGACTGATCTCTTCACTTCTGCAGGCATGCTTTTAATAATTTCTCCTACTGAGCCCTGGAGCTGTCTATGTGCTGAGATTTAGAAAGAGGAAAAAAAATCAAAGCACCCAAGAGACATAATGCAGTTTTGGGCTATAGTTAAAAGCAAGAGAGTAGCTTTCTTTCACAAAAATACGTTGGGGGTTTAGCTGAAGGAAGAAAAGACCTGCCATTGTCCTTGAGCCTTTTCTCCCCATCTAACCTGCTGCTAAATATATATATCTGCTTCAGAGTCTTTTTCCCTTCACTCTCCTCACATTGACTTGTCTGTTTGCAGTTTCAGATCAGTGAAGAGCCTATATGCAGACTGAAATGCTGCAATTTTCTGGACATTCCCATTTCTCTCCCTTTTCTAATACTCAATTCTTTTGACATCAAGTTTTTATCAATCCCATAGCAGATATTAGTGAATCCAGTTTGTCTTCTGAGGTAGGTAAATGGCTCAGAGATCAGGTGTAATGTCCAGTTCTATTGGTTCTGAAAAATGAAGATTATGTTGATAACCATCTGTAAGAATTGCACATCTGTGGATCAGTTCTGTTTACAAAAGAGCCTGTTAAAGCATAACCAGCTGCCTTTTATGTATAAAACGCGCTCCACAAAGCTATTTTAAGAGGAATGCCAGGGGTGTTTGCTGCTTTCTGTCTTACCTCCAGAGATACACTGATGTCAGCTGGGAGACAGCACGTTTAACTGCTCTGCCATGACCTTCTGAAATGGTTATTGTGCCGATGCCCATTTCAGTATTTGTGTAAGACAATTGTCTTAGTATTATAGCTAAAAGAAGTGGGACAGTACTCTGAAACCTGGGACAGGCTTGGCCTTGAAAGGATGTGCTAAACTTGTATGTGAAGGACTTGCATATGATTTTTAGCTCTAGTAATAAAATACATTAAAATTGATGTTATTCATATCTGGAGCACACTTACGTGGTAAAATGTATTTTTTTGTAGTTTCTTGTTATGTTATTTACATGACACTCATTTAGGTGAATGTTGTACTCTATGGCAGAACCCTTTTTGTATGTATAGGGATCTTTTTTTATTCCAGGTTTGTAGCAATGTCATGATGCCTCTCAAACAGCTGGATGTGTCTGCTACTTTTTCTGAGCTATTTGAACTTTTATACAGCTGCAGGATCCTTTGTCTTTCATTAGCACCATAAATTAAACCTGAAGAACACTGTCATGAAATGAACATGTTATCATGGAGGATGGAACTGGTAGTTCATTAAAGGCAATACTGCACAAAATTCCTGGGTTTTGATTTAGCAAAATGAAATGATGTTTCCACTTCTGTGACAGTTTGAAATCCATTGAAGAAAGAACTTCTTGTTCACATCCTCAAAGAAACCCTAAAAAAATCTACAACAAAAAGCCCCACCCACCACCCATCAAAAAAACAACCTAACAAAACCCCATGAATTTTGCTTGGTTCTCTTCTAAAACAGAATGTGTTTCCATCTTGTGGATATTTTTCCATGTAGTAAGAAGGTAGAGTAGGTAACTTTCCTTGAATTGCTATTTTGCCATTGAGCAAATTGCTCTTCAAATGAAAACTCACACCAGGCACTGCCACAGGTCGTAGAAACTCTGCTGATTCCTGCCTTTCGAGATCTAAACGAAGGGCTGTTCGGTGTTGCACATCAGCATCTCCCAAGTGACCTGGAGACCATCGTTAACCAAGTGGAAATGTTGAGCTATCTACATGTGAGAAGTCAGGATGAAAAATCCTCACGTAGTGTGGATTTTATGTGAGGCATTTCATATTCTGAAGTCACAGCAGATTGGGAATGTTGATGAAGCTTCTGTATTTCAAGACATTCAAGAGGAGCATATAGTCTACTCAGACCATAAACATATGCTCTCTGGTAGCAATATCAGCTTGAGACCTTGTGTGCCCCAGGGTGCTGTAGCATGCTGCCTTTTCCATTGTGCTGGCACAGTTGTTTTTCAGGTGATCCAGATCAGGCTGAAGGGATGGCACATTGTGGGGGATGCAGAGGGTGAGTGGAAAGTAGAAATTCCTTAAGCTACTGTGTGTTGTCAGCAGCAGTACTAGGTCGTGGCCCAGACTGTTCAATTCATAGAATATTTCTGTTCATAGAAATGCTCATCTTGATTTTTGATTGAAGCTGATGTTTCAGGCATCCTATGAACACCAAAACTTTTCTATGGAAAATTAGGTAAGTCTTAAACATAACAATTATTAAATTAGATTCTAGCAGTGTAAAAGGAAAATGCCATTTTTCAGCCTGTTGTCTGTAAAGAGGCTGCCCTCAGCAAGTGAGGGCAGTGACCAAGCTCCAAGAGCACAAGCAAATTTTTTATTACGAGGTCGTACAAGAAGTGAAAGTGTTGCAGTATCTTTTGGGAACCCTTCTCCAAAGCTCATCTTGTTCTGCTGTCATTAGTGCTCCCAGCAGATCAGATCTCCCGAGTACATGAAGTATTAGCTTGGGATCAGCTGGTCTCTGATTAGCATGTGAAGTGACTTTGTGGCTGAAGATTGGTATATTAACAATAGGAAGAATTAGGCTCCCAAGGCACGTGGGTAATTAGCAGGAGCCACCTGGGATTCCCATTTGCAGTGTTGCAAAAAGGCAGAGGGGATAGTCTTTATAGGAGACTGAGTAAATCCTTCTCAGAAAGGATGATGAGATGAGGAGGAGGCAGAAGCAATAGCTACATGGGAGTAGCAGGTGGTTTTTGCAGCTGTGCAACGCTGAGCAGCGTGATGTGACAAAGAGCAGCAGGAGTGGAATAAACACAGCAGCAGAGCTCCCATGCAAAGGTGGGCAGCGGCCTGGAAAATATTTCTGGTTCTCAAGAGAAGCTACCAGGAGCGTTTCCACTTCTGTAGAAGTGGCGGTAGCTTGAAGGTGTTGAAGGCTACGTTAGAACTTGGAGAGGTTTTGTGAATGTACCAGCTTTCTGGTGGACTGCTTCTAGTTGGCTGCTACTTAAGGTAGCTCAAGAGGAAAAGTGGAATGAAAAACGTGGTTTGGTACGCCCCCAAAGTTTTAGCTGAAACTTAAATTTAAAAGTTACTGATTTGTAAGCAGTAATACTTTTATATTTGAAATCACGACCACACAAAGTGCACCTTGATTAGAAGTCTCTTTGATTCTTAATTTTTTTTTTAGACTGCTGTGTGAAAGGAAAGGAAAACCACCTTTAAGACTACTTAGGTGAATATTTACTCTCTGACCATTTTTTTTCATCTGACTTCATAATTAGAATGGATATCTGGTTGGAAAGCCGTTTCCTAAAAGTTTGGATTAATAAAGTAAAAAAAATGCTACCCTTCTCTCAGGGAGATCCTTCTGTTTCTGTTTTACCTTGTCATGAGCTCTGATCATTGCACTGAGTTATGTAATATTTTTCCTAGGTCTAAAATTGATAAACTGATAGTAAAAATAAACTTAACCCTTTCCTCTCAATGATTCCAGGGAATTCTAAGAAAAATTAGACACGTGTGAATCTTTTAAGAAT